TACAGTCAATGTCCCTAATAAGAACAGATTTTCAGAAGGTCTCAATAATTTCTTTATTAAAAATTCATTTTTCATGATAAAAATTTTTTTTTTTCATATTCGAGTGCAGAAATGTCTGCTGCATCGAATGGTGCAAAAATCAACTAATTATCTCGAAAACTAATCGAGTAATTAGCGGTAGTTTGCGAGTACTTGAATTTGTTCTTATTAGGAGCGCTGTTCCTAATAAGAACAGCAAGTAGAAAAAGTGTTCCTAATAAGGACACTCTATGTAAAATACATAGAAATTTAAATATTTTTAGTAAATCGACTTTTTTATTCTTAAAATAAAAAATTTCGATATACTTCTGGAACAAAAAATGTTCCTCATCAATTGATACCATTAAATCCAAAGGTTCAGATTTTTTCAATTTGTAATAACTAAGTTATTACACTTTTAAAAATTCATCGCCTGTTCTTATTAGGAACACTGTTCCTAATACGAACAGTCAACAAAAAAATGTTCCTAATAAGAACAATCTATGTAAAATATATAGAAAAAAAAATTTTTTTAGTAAATGAACATTTTCTATATGTAAACTAAAAGATTTCTTTGTGATTCCGTCACAGAAAATGTTCATTGACTAATGACACGTTAATATCCAGCGGTTCGAAATAAACCGAGTTACTTTACAGTTTATCAGAACCATATCAAAATGGCTGTTTGAGAGCGAATTAATCTTTGAAATTTTAATAGATCTTGTGAGCTTATTCATATTCAAATAGGCTTAGTTTTACCATTTTGTATGTCCTTACTAGATAGATAAACTCAATAATATTGATTCACCATTGATGAATGATTATGAAAACGAAAATATATCAATACTTCACCAATATTCATTGACTATGTTATAGTATCTTGTAAATTATCATATATCGGTAAATATATTTTCAACGTTGGTGAATACGAAATTCATTTGATTTTACCTAACTAAAATCATTTACTTTCAGTTTTAAATAAAAAAAATTCAGCAATATTATTTCTTTTACGTCACGCCACTCGTAAACGATGAGCATTTAGAGTCTTTTGATAAATGAGATAAAGTTCATCTAGTTAACGAGTGAAAAAAAGATATTCGTTTACTCTCATGAATATTATAGAAAAAAACGTAAAAAAATAACATCTTTGATCGTGAATTCGACACAAAAATTTGCCGTATTTCATCTTAACTAAATAAAAGAAACGTTTTTTATTGCCTTACACGTAAAAGATTTACTTTTGTTTTCAAAATTATAAAAATAACTTCATGCAAATTTCGATTTTATTCAGTAATATTGAAGTGAATTAATTTCTCTCTTTGTTTCATTATTTTAATGACATTTTTCCGTTTTAACATTTGAAAACCATACTGATATTTAAGCATGCACTTAATGAAGTAAAAGAAAGTCCTGATTCAGAATTAGTAATAAGAATCACGACTCGGGCTGGAAAAAAAAGATGGAAAGATCAGATAAAAATTGATAATTTTTTATTAAAAAATAAAAGATTAAAATGTCTCTATTTGAATGTTAATAGAATCGGATGTTTTCCCGTTAATTTTTTTATTTCGTCTTATACTAAAATTTCTTATTATCATTATAAGAGACTACTGCAATTTAAAAAATGTTAATCGATTAATAAAACTCAATCGATTAGATAAATAAAATGTCTTCAAATTAGAGAACAAAACAAGATTATGAGTAAAAACTTTATTCTATTAAGATAGTGATGTCATTTCAATAAATTTGTTTTTCAAAAAATAATCGACTTTAATCTTTTTTTTTTCATGTTTCTACACGGAATATGATAGAAATATAACAAAGAAAACGACATGTATTTAGTTCTTTTATTGTAATCTTATTGATCGTGAAAAACTAATTTTGTTCACGGTTTTAAGTTTCTTTTTTTTTCTTTTCGTAACACCAACTGTATTGATTGACCATGCATAGCCGACTAATTATAGCAATAGAAATATATGGGAACGAGGATTTGTAACGTTACTTTAATCAGCAATAGAGAAAGAATGAGTATCATGAACTCAGTAGGATCACAAGATGTTGGATTCAAGATTTCGTCTATTTAATGCAGTCAAGCAGAAGAAATTAGGCAATACTTAGAAATACATTTCTATCGCAGTGATTTTTTTCTTGTATTTTCATTAGAATGTTCATTTCTAATGCATATACGATAGTTTAAGACAACCTCTGATAACACATTTCAATTATTTCTAAACGTAATTCGACAGAAATTTTTGAACAAAATCATGACAATTAACAGTCAAAAATTAATCTAGTATTTCAAAGTTCCAGGGCACAAACATCTTTTACTGTCCTGCTCTGTGGACATCTTTGCTCAGGAATACTTATTCCATAGTCTAGAATCATTTTTCTATTCTTTTTTAAACAACTAATAATTTTTTTTCACATGAGTAAATAAATTGTGACCAAGGAATAATTATATTAAGATAATAGCTAATTTAAAATTTAATAGAAACTGTGATGTGAACTAATATCCGATTACATCAACTTTGGTATAATTTTCAGAAAAAATAAAAAAATGAAACAGCATCAGTCAAATAATGAAACGAAGAGTAAATGTTTATTTCAACATTAATGTAAAAAAATGAAGATTTTTATGAATTTACTTCTATAATTTTGAAAGAAAAGTAAATTGATTACATCTGCCAGACTAAATTGTTTTTTTTTATTCAAGTGAAACCAAATACAGTAATTTGTGTATTGAGTTGGTCTTCAAAAGCATTATTTTTTTCATGTTTTTGCTATAAAATTCGTGAAAGTACACAAATTGTTTTTCTAATTTTTTAACTAGATGCGTTTTATCTCATTTACAAAAACATTCTAAATGTTCATCGCTTGCGAATGGTCTGATATAAAATGAATGATATTGCTGAATTTTTTTTATTTAAAACTGAAAGTAAATGATTTTAGTTAGGTAAAATCAAATGAATTTCGTGTCCATCAACGTTAAAAATGAATTCACTGATATATGATAATTTTTTCAAGATATTATAATGCATTCAGTATGTATTGATGAAGCATTTACGTATATTTTACTGTCATAGTCATTCAGCAATAGTGAATCAGTTATATATACTTTATTTATCTGGAAAAAACACACAAAATGATAAAATAGAGCCTATCCGAGCATAATCGTGTTGAAAAGTTGTATTAAAATTTCAAAGATTAATTCGCTCTCAAACAGCCATTTTGATATGGTTCTGATAAACTGTAAAGTAACTCGGTTTATTTCGAACCGCTGGATATTAACGTGTCATTAGTCAATGAACATTTTCTGTGACGGAATCACAAAGAAATCTTTTAGTTTACATATAGAAAATGTTCATTTACTAAAAAAATTTTTTTTTCTATATATTTTACATAGATTGTTCTTATTAGGAACATTTTTTTGTTGACTGTTCGTATTAGGAACAGTGTTCCTAATAAGAACAGGCGATGAATTTTTAAAAGTGTAATAACTTAGTTATTACAAATTGAAAAAATCTGAACCTTTGGATTTAATGGTATCAATTGATGAGGAACATTTTTTGTTCCAGAAGTATATCGAAATTTTTTATTTTAAGAATAAAAAAGTCGATTTACTAAAAATATTTAAATTTCTATGTATTTTACATAGAGTGTCCTTATTAGGAACACTTTTTCTACTTGCTGTTCTTATTAGGAACAGCGCTCCTAATAAGAACAAATTCAAGTACTCGCAAACTACCGCTAATTACTCGATTAGTTTTCGAGATAATTAGTTGATTTTTGCACCATTCGATGCAGCAGACATTTCTGCACTCGAATATGAAAAAAAAAAATTTTTATCATGAAAAATGAATTTTTAATAAAGAAATTATTGAGACCTTCTGAAAATCTGTTCTTATTAGGGACATTGACTGTA